AAGGCATTTTCATGGTTTCTGCTTGCATCTGTGGCAGTGGCAGCACCATCAAGCACATCAGCAATAGCAGCAGAGGGGCAGTGACAGTGGTATCACAACTGTAACATTAGCAGTTTTGGAAAGAACGTAGAAGCAAGGGTGGATGGTGACTAGCAGGCCCTGAGTTGCTGCTCAGGCAGTAGTGTCCCAACAGAAGCAGCCTCAGGGACACATTGTTTATAGACTCTGGGTAAATCATTTTCTCTTTTGTTTTCCAGCTCTAGGTGAGATCACACTTGAGTGTAATTGCCAATCTTTGCATCAGCTAATCTTTCTTGTTTTGCTCCTCTAGCCCATTCCAATAATTTTTGTAGCAGATTCCTTACATCAAATCCCCTCTCTATTGGACACCTAGATCTGTTTCTGCTTTTCTGATTGGGCAGAGATTGATGTATGGTGTTATGAATTAGCATGTGTGAGTAACAGTCAGCATATACTAGTATGTTATACCCCAGAAGGCATTTCATCATATGCTGGAAAAACATTCAAGGAATACTCAATTGACAATGTTGATTCTACATTCAACTTTTCTTTATCTCTCAGGAGAGAATCACCAACCTCTCATATACAATGAGAGGTTTTGTGGTAGTTACTGGCATTTATAGACTCTTGTTTGAGTTATGTTTATTCCCCAGAAAATTTGCATTTAAATAATTTTAAAAATGCAAACTTCTGTGTCTGTTGAGTCCTTTATTCTTTTTTTTTTTTTAATATATTTTATTGATTTTTTACAGAGAGGAAGGGAGAGAGACAGAGAGTTAGAAACATCGATGAGAGAGAAACATCGATCAGCTGCCTCCTGCACATCTCCCACTGGGGATGTGCCCGCAACCCAGGTACATGCCCTTGACCGGAATTGAACCTGGGACCTTTCAGTCCGCAGGCCAACGCTCTATCCACTGAGCCAAACCGGTTTCGGCGAGTCCTTTATTCTTTAAGCTTTGTAATTCATAACTCATATCTCCCTGTGTTTTTCTTCCTCTTAGCCTCCAAGAATTTTTAATTTGTGATTTTATTTTGGTATTTTTCTATTTTCTCTAAGGACTTTTTATCTTTGCAGATACAGCTGGCATTAAGAAAGAGCATTCTCGAGAAAGAGAGTCTGTAGTAATAATGCTAGCACAGAGGAAAAACTAGGATTGTTCTAGTGAATCAGGTTAAAATGTGTGACTTTTGCTGAAAACATCAGTGTGGCAAGAATCTTGTGCCAGCCCTGACTGGTTTGGCTCAGTGGATAGAGCGTAAGCCTGTGGACTGAGGGGTTCTGGGTTCTATTCCAGTCGGGGGCATGTGCAGTGGTTGCAGGCACGTCCCCAGTGGGGGGTGTGCAGGAGGCAGCTGATCGATGTTTTCGTATCTTTGTCATTGATGTTTCTAACTCTCTATCCCTCTCCCTTCCTCTCTGTAAAAAATTCAATAAAATATTTTTTTAAAAAAGAATCTTGTGCCATAGACTCACTATCATCATATGTAGACTCTAAGTTCAAATATGGAAAGTATCATACTTGTCCCAAAATTAAGAAAGGAACATTATCTTGTACTATGTGACAATTCCATAGCTTACCACAGTCAAATTAATGCCTGAACCTCTATATTTAGGTTCCTTCATTATTCTGAGCAATGGGTGTACAGGCTATCAACTCCAAATCTGGGAAATATTCCTGTAATTGTCTATTGTTCCAATGGATTACTTGACCTTTAACATTCAGCCTCTCTGTATCCATTAACTTTCCACCCCTATGTCTGCATATAGTATAGATATGATACATTTAGAAGTTGACACTTGATTGGACACTAAATTTGGAAGAAAAAAGATTAAACTGTGTAGTTTAATGTTGTCCAGAAGCAGAAAAAGGCATGAGGCCAAATTCCACCAGTTCTTTGTTTCATCACATGATGTTGCTTGGATATTGGCTTATCAACAGATTGAATTTTCACCCCCACCACTGCAAGAAGAAAGGGACCTTGAAAAAAATCATGTGGAATATGGATAAAAGCTTTTAAAAAGGGGGAGACTACAATACAGGGTAAGTTCCTTTTAAGCAAACATGTCTTTTTGTTTCAGGTATGTTATTTTGTAACTTTTTCCTCCTGAATTCCCAAGCATTTTAAACAAACTTTATCAGTTACAGACCATTTGAATAGGTAAGATGGATTTTCTCAGCAATAGTTCAAGAAAAGCACACATAAATTTTTGCCATGAGAAATATCATCAGTCATTTTCTTATGCTATTTAAGAAAAGAAGAAATCTTTCAAGCTTAGAAAAATATTTATGCTTTGCTCTACAGATCTGGAAAGTGGGAGAAGGGATATTGAGATGATTTGAGTACAGGAAAGAGTGTAGAAAGAATATTAAAAGTGTATATCTTAGTTGGCATGGTTTCTGGAGTGCATGCTGAAGAAAAACAGTAGTAAATAAAATATTTATAGTTTAATTTATAAGTTCTTATCATGAAAACAAGATACAAGGCGATGCTGACTAATGTTTTCCTTATACATTTCTCTTTTGGAATATCTGAGCCTGAGCTCTGTGAACTCAGAGCCAGAGTTTTCTGACATGTTAAAATACTTCTTAAGTGTGTAGTCATGTGTGCACATGTGAGGAGAGGAGAGGAGAGGAGAGGAGAGGAGAGGAGAGGAGAGGAGAGGAGAGGAGAGGAGAGGAGAGGAGAGGAGAGGAGAGGAGAGGGGAGGGGAGGGGAGGAGAGGAGAGGAGAGGAGAGGGAGAATGTTTTATAGTCACGATCTCAGTTAATCAAACAACCTGAAGAGGTAGGTATTGTTGCCAAGGGCAAAATTGTGAAGAGAGGGGAAATGCTCAGGGTTTCCATTCTGTGCCTCAACAACCATAGTCCAATATGTCTATTCTTCTTTAATTATTAACTTTTTAATTATTATATACTCCTCAGATTCTAAATCCTAAATTACATGGAAAGGAGACTTAATCATAAGCAGGTGTGACTTCATTTCGTATCTTTGTCAGGCAAGTGGCAAATAATGTCACTAGGTTTAATAACTGCTTTTTAGTATCTATACTAATAAAAGGGTAATATGCAAATTGGTTGTGATACCCTCACACAATGACCAAACAGCAGGCCGCGTGGGGTGACCAGGCCAGCAGGGGGGGCAGTGAGGGGCAACCGGGCTGGCATGGGGGGACAGTTGGGGGTGACCAGGCCAGCAGGGGTGGGAAGTGAGGGACAACCAAGCCTTCAGGGGGCGGCAGGGGGGGCTACCAGGCAAGTGGGGGGGGGAAAGTTGGAGGTGACTAGGCTGGAGGGGGGTAGGAAGGGGTGACCAGGCTGGCAGGGGGTGGCAGTTAGGGGCAACCAGGCCAACAGTAGGAGGCAGTTGGGGGCAACCAGGCTGGCGGGGGGGGGGGCAGTTAGGGGTGATCAGGCCAGCAGGTGGGTAGTTGGGGGAAGCCAGGCTAGCAGGGGGGACAGTTAGAGGCAATCAGGCCGGCAGGGGAGGGCAATTGGGGGAGACCAGGTCAGCAGGGGGGGCAGTTAGGGGAGACCAGGCCAGGAGGGGGGCCAGTGAGAGGCAACCAGGCTGGCAGAGGGACAGTTAGGGGCGACCAGGCCGGCAAGGGGGGGGGCAGTTAGAGGTGATCAGACTGGCAGAGGGGCAGTTCTGGGTGATCACGTTGGTAGGCAGAAGCAGTTAGCAGTGATCAGGCTGGCAAGGGGGCAGTTAGGGGCGATCAGGCAGGCAGGCAGGTGAGCGGTTAGGAGCCAGCAGTCCCGGATTGGAGAGGGTGCAGGCTGAGCTGAGGGGACCCCCCATGCATGAATTTCATACACTGGGCCTCTAGTGATGCTATAAAATTGCAAATCTAAATCTGTAAGAAATGGAGAATGATATAAAGGTATACTGTACTACCACTAAAAACCATATTTTATTGATTTTTATTTTTTAAACTATATTTTTATTGATTTCAGAGATGGAGAGAGATAGAAATATCAATGATGAGAAGAATCATCGATCGGCTGCTTCCTACATGCCCCCTACTGGGGACTAAGCCCACAACCTGGGCATGTGCTCTGACCAGGAATCGAAGTGTGACCTCCTGGTTCATAGGTTGATGCTCAACCACTGAGCCACACTGGCCGGGATAAGAATCATATTTTAAAGGATAATTAAGGAGTTGGGGAAGTGCATAGCACATAGGGTATGATCTCCCTTTTCTAAAATCACACAATGTACCCAGAAAAGGGTACATTTGATATCATAAAAGGATATCAAATGCCAACAGTAGTTATGAACAGTTAGATTATGGATGATGTTGTTTTCTTCAAATGTTAATTATTTATGAATTTTCCATAATAACATTCATTAATTTTAGAATCAGAGAAAATATTATTTGAAAATTTCAAGAAGTAACTACTCTGACATGGTATGGCTCTACAACCCACTTGCTTCAAACATAGTTAAGCAGAGAAACATAGGGCTCTGAATTAGTCCTCCCATAAAAAAAGGTATGAGAATGTAGCCCTGGTAGTTCAATTGGTTAGAGCATCATCCCAATATGCTAATTTTGTGCATTTGATCCCTGATCCCTGGTCAGGGCACATACCAAAATCAAACAACTAATGCATAAATAAGTGGAACAACAAATCAATATTTCTCTCTCTCTCCTTTCCTCTCTCTCAAAAAGTCATTTAAAAAATATATATATATATATATATATATATATATATATATATATATATATACATATATAAAAGAATGAGAATAGGGAAAAGCACAGAACTAAAGCAGACTGATGAGGTCCCTTACTTTGAAACATGTGAGAAAATTTCTTATCCTTTGAAATACATAATATTTATTTATTTATTTATTTATTTATTTATTTATTTTTTAATTGCTTACTTGTTTACTTAGGTATATTCTCAAAATTGGTTAAACAAGTGCAGTTTTATGCTATGTTTTGTTGTTCCTTGGAGTTACAGGATAAAGAATGGGAGAAAAATGGAAAAGACAGCAAAAGCTTCAGAAAGTGCCACAGATTCCTTGCATTCGAGTCCCTCCCTCTGCCTTTGACACTTCATTAATGAAGGTACAGCATGTTATTCACAGATGACTAGACCTTGTCTGTATCTTTTTCAAGGCCTAAGGAATTTCCATGTCTTTATTTACCTAGCAGTTAGGACAGTGATGGCGAACCTATGACACGCGTGTCAGAGGTGACACGCGAACTCATTATTTGGGTTGATTTTTCTTTGTTAAATGGCATTTAAATATATAAAATAAATATAAAAAATATACATCTTTGTTTTTCTATGGTTGCAAATATAAAAAAATTTCTATATGTGACACGGCACCAGAGTTAAGTTAGGGTTTTTCAAAATGCTCAAAAGGTTCGCCATCACTGATTTAGGAGAACATTGAGCCCAATGTAGGCCTTCAGAGCATGTTGACAGTGCATGTGAGAGAATAAATGAGTATGGAAATCTAACCCTACACCCATCCAGTAATGGGAAACTCACTGATTGACTACACTCTTGCTCCTAGCTAGAAAGCCATGTTAGTTCCTTTCAAAATTAGTTAAAGCCATTCTCAAAAATACTCTTGGTAAACATTTCAGTTCTCTGCCATCTCCTTAAGGAGGATTAAGCAACTGGATAAGAATATTAGAATGTTACTGTTACTTCTTATTTTGAAGTTGATAGTTCTAGTAAGAAAAATAAGTAGACTTTTTCATCTTATTAAATAAAACCATAACTTTTAAGGTTTTATCTTTATATAATGGAAACTTCCTTTGCATTTTGGAGTTTGCTCTTGAAAATGGCTTGGGTTTTTCATTTTATATTGTTGTCAATCATTTAAAAAGGCTAAATTAGGAATCCATTTTCTTCTTCAAATATATTATCTTGTAAAACACCTAATTTAGAAACTGTAAAGTTGAAATGAAGTCTCAGATTGTGAAGTATTTGGTTTTGCTACTTTCACTCTGGACCTAAAACAAAACAAAACTGACTGCATACAAATTTTCTAACAAATATTTCAACTCCATATAAAATTTCTAATAGATAAAAGTCACTTTATTTTTATAAATAATTATCTTAAGTTTGGATTTATTACAGCATTATCAACTAGTTTTTAAAATTCTGTCACTGTTTTGAATTTTTTTGGTCTGGGTGAACTTATTTTATCTTGATTTTTCTAGAATGTTGATGCCACTATCTCAGTTTTCCCATCTGCATATAATTAGCTTCTAAGAAATATTCGGTGTATCATAGTAATTGATGCCCAGGCCTATTTTGTTCCTCCCTAGCATATGTGGCAGCCTTCTTAATGGTCTCCATGCCAATGGTCTGGCCTCCTTTAAACTTATTCTCCACAGCAGGGCCAGAATGAGCTTTCTAAAATGCAAATCTGATCAGCTTAAGGTGTGACATTTTGGGTTGGATAATTTTTTGTCATAAGAGCTGGAGGCTGTCTCATGCACTTAGGATGTTCAGCAGCATCCCTGGCCTCTAGTCAATGAATGCCAGTAGCATCTCTCCTCCCTCTCACCATTTGTGACAACCCAAAAATTTCCCGGCATTGCCAAATGTCTCTTGAGGGTCAAAATTACTTCTGTTGAGAGCCACTGCCTTAAATAAGACCTTCAATGGTTCCTCATTTTTTTTAAAGGTAATAATGAAGCATAAAAGTTTTCCATGATCTTCCCCTGCCTAACTCTACAGCCTTTTCCAGCTCAGACTCCATGTTCTAATTGAAGTAAAGGAAAAGTCTGCTTCCCAGCATATCCAGATATATTGTGTCCTATAAGAAAAATTGTACCACTCTCTCCTTCTCATTAGCCCTTCATTTTCTTCTAGTCCAGCCGTGGGCAAACTACGGCCCGCAGGCCGGGATCCGGCCCATTTGAAATGAATAAAACTAAAAAAAAAAAAAAAAAAAAGACCGTACCCTTTTATGTAATGATGTTTACTTTGAATTTATATTAGTTCACACAAACACTCCATCCATGCTTTTGTTCCGGCCCTCCGGTCCAGTTTAAGAACCCATTGTGGCCCTCGAGTCAAAAAGTTTGCCCACCCCTGTCTAGTCAGTGGTTCTCAAATATTAGTGTGCATGTATCAAAATTACTCAAAGGACTTGTTAAAGTCAGAGTACTGGGCCCCACCCCCAGAATTTCTGAATCTATAGGTCTGGGGTGGGGCCTGAGAACCTGCATTTCTAACAAGTACCAGGTGATGGTGATGACTTTTAGAACCAGGATTCTGGTCCCTTTGAGGACTTCCTGCTCACCCTGAAGACTAGATATGTCAATCATCTCATTTAGAAAGTTTCCTTGACTGCTGCAGGCAGAGTTGTTTTTTTGTGTGTGTTTTTTTTTTCCTGTTGAACCCTTATCACATTGCCCATCTCTTCATCTGCTTATTTCCCCTGCTCACTGACAACTCTCAGTGGAAAGTTCTCCTTTTACCCATCCAGAGGCCTGGCATACTTCAGGACCTGTGTAGATTCTCACAGCCTACCTTCCTCAAAAAGGACTATAATAAATGAATTCAAACTAAAAAAATCCTTGGAACTTCCTCAGCCCAACATTTTGACCTACTTACTAGAATCTTACTTAGGCATTTCACCTTTACACAGGCCAGTGGAAGATTGTTTAAACTAAGGAAGGAAACTACCCAATTCCTATTTTTCCAATTGTTTTATATATATGGTGAGAGTGAGAGAAAGAGAGAGAGAGGCATCTTATTTAAAGGAAAGTCAGCTTTGCATACATCAACTCTTAATTTTATAAACTCTACCAACTCATCAAAATCACCTGCTGTGCTTTGATAGGACCTGACCCGAGGGCAGCAGCGCTACTTTTACAGCATCATGAAGATTTACAACTCCAGGCCCCAGTGGGAGGCCCTGAAGACCCGCTATATTCACACCCTTCAGCACCAGCAGCTGCTTGGTGAGTTTAACTACTTGACCTGCACCACGTACCTCAAGAAGGGACTAGTACACTGCAGCCAGAAGTCAAGTTTCCTGAAAAATTTTCAAGTAGAACGTTGTCTTCCAGCGAGTTATTTTACCAACATGGTTTACAAAAAGTTATACCTGACAATAGAAAGCAAATTTCTATGGGTAAATTAAGAGTGTTTAAAGAGGATGGATTATTATAAGATGATAGTTCTCTGAGAATTATAGGAACTTGACCTAGTAGAAACAGCCATAGCCTCAGGCGGATGGTCTAGCCCTGGTTGGCAAACTGCTGCTCTCGAGCCACACACGGCTCTTTGGCCCCTTGAGTGTGGCTCTTCCTAAGCCTTAGGAGTACCCTAATTAAGTTAATAACAATGTACCTACCTATATAGTTTAAGTTTAAAAAATTTGGCTCTCAAAAGAAATTTCAATCGTTGTACTGTTGCTATTTGGCTCTGTTGACTAATGAGTTTGCCGACCACTGGCTAGGCTTAAACCACAGCTCAGCCCCTTGCTGGTTGCATAAATTCAGAGACTTGGTTTACTCAAAAAAGGAATATTTATATTGTTGAGCATTTACCATGTTCCAGATATTGTGCTTGGAGCTCTACATGTACTTTCTCATTTTCTTCCTACTTTACAGTTGTGGGAAACTGTAGCTCCGCAGGTTACAAAACTTGATCAAGATAACCCAGAGAGCACATGTCAGTTAGGACGATCACCTACAAAACTCATGCATTGTTGTCCCTCTGCTCCACTGTCTCTCCTCGTCTATGAACCTCATGGGATTTTATAAGCACAAGTGAAATAATGGTTGTGAAAGACCTTATAGATCATAAACAACAACCTACAGAAAGGTGTAATTGCTGTTAAATCTTTCTTCTCAAAAATATTTTGTCCTCAGCTCCCCTCTATTACATCTTCTCCTAACTCCCATAGAGTTTTGTTTGTTTGTTTGTTTGTTTATTCTAAAAGGTTACAGGATAGAGAGAAGCTAAAAAAATTCTTAAGCAAGTGGAATAAGGAAACTGAGACAAGAAAATTACAAAAGGCCCAACAGTTTGGGGGGCTTGCAGGTAGCTTGTAAATAACAAGCCATTATCTTCCCCAACCAAGGACACTTGAGAGTAAATGGCTAAACACCCCTCCTCACTAACTAAAAGAATTAAGAAAGGAGTGGGAAGGAGAGGGGGAAGAGGAAGAGGAATCTTAATGCACCTAGAGAATACATAGCTTAAATCACTCTGAAACTAACTAAAAGCCAAGAGGAAGAAAGAATACAGTCTTATCTCATCTCACTGTTTAAACAGAGAAGCCAGCAGTCTCAGAGGATTTAATTACCAAGTGCTTCTCATACATCCTGGGAAAACCATAACAAAGTAAATGGGAAAGAGACCTTCAGAGTTAACCTATACCTGGATATCTAGCAGAGGAATTTAAAATCTATAGAGAGGAAAGTATATGAGGCAGACACCTCCCTTCCCCACCACACTCACTCCTCAGATAGCAGAGAATCCATCTGTGCTTCATGCCAGATGACAGTTATGCTTGCCTTACTTCTTTAACAAATTTGCATGCTTTACTTTCTTAATAAATTCACTGTAACACAATTAATCTGGAGTCACTCATTTGAACTCATACCAGAAGACAAGAACCCAGGAGGGGACAGCTCTCTCCCTTCAATTCAGGGGCCTGTCCCATAACACCTTTCCTGGTGTTTGGGATGCCTGTAACAAAACTACTCACTTGGCATTAGCACATCTAGTTATACTGTTGTTTCTATATTTGCACAAAAGAAAAAGATGGTTTTTTCCCCCAAGTGATTTAATAACAAACACAGTAAGAGTAGCTATCTGTTTTTAGGACTTCCTATGTACAAACTACTATTCTAAGCACTTTGCATGTATTACCTTGTTTAAAACTTAAACATGTTTACATGGTAGATGCCTTTATTACCCATATTTTACAGAAGAGAATATTGAGACATAGATAAGTTAAAAATTTGACCCGGGTAATGTAACTAATAAATGGAAGAGCCAGGATTCAGCTGGTCCCAATGATTGTTCGAAGCATTGCTGAAACATCATCTAGTAATTTTGTTTGCATAGTAAAACTACTTAAAAGCCAGTGAACCAGAGAGGCAGAATATTCAAAGTTTACTGCATGTAAACTTCACCTCTGTATGTTAATAAAATGCAAAATTTCAGGTCTAACTTTCTAAGTTTCTGATTTGAAAGGTCTTTGGAGTAGAACTAGAAATCTGCATTTTTAAAAAGCATTATCATTTAGTTATTTTATTTTGTTTTATTTTTTATTGAAAAATGTTTGGGTTACATTGGTTAAAAAATTTATATACATCATCTGTATATTGTAGTATGTGTTCACCACTCAAAGGCATGTCTCTTTCCATTACCATTTATCCCTACTTTATCCTCTCATACCTCCCACCACCACCTTTCCCTGTGGTAGTCACCACACTGTTGTCTGTGTCTATGAGGTTTTGTTTGTTTGTTTGTCTTTCATTTAACTCCAACTTTTTCACCCAGACCCCAAACCACCCTCCTTTCTGACAGCTGTCTGTTTTCTGTATCTATGAGTCTCTATTTTGTTTGTTTGTATGTTTGTTTGTTTTATTCATTAGATTCCATATAAATGAAATCATATGGTATTTGTTTTCTCTGACTGGCTTATTTCACTTAGCATAATACTCTCCAGGTCCATCGATGATGTTGCAAAGGGCAAGGTTTCCTTCTTTTTTACCAACAAGTAGTCTTGATGGACACTTGGGCTGTTTGCAAAACTTGGCTATTGTAAATAACACTGCAATGAATACAGGGGTGCATATATTTTTTCATATTAGTGTTTTGGGTTTCTTTAGATATATTCTGAAAAATGGAATCACTGGGTCATAAGGCTGTGAAGGAAAACCCCTATTCTGTAAAACTACTGTTTGGAATTCTCTGCTATTCTTTGGACGGCCTCTTATTCTGAAAAAAAAAAAAATAATAATAATAATAACTTTGCTTTCTAGCCTGCTTGAATAATGGGGGAGATAAACTTAGCTGTCTGACCTTGTAGGCCAGAGACTGGATACACCCAATGCCATGCCAGGTGCATTTTTTAATTGGATAGAACTGTGTAGTTTTCAAGGCCGCTGCCAGCAAGCACACAAAGGGCTGGCTCTTCCATAAAAAGGGAAGTTCTTCTGGTAGCTTTGCTTAGAATTTGGATTCATTTCCCTATGCCCACCGTGGTGAATAAAGTGTAACTCCAAACTCTCAGAGTTTAGTTCTTGTCTGGTTTTTCTGTAACAAGGCAGTTCAAGTTTTAATGTAACTCCATGCTGCTTTCCACAGTAGCTGCACCAATCTGCATTCTCACCAACAGTGTCTGAGGGTTCCCTTTTCTCCACATCCTCACCAACAATTTTTTTTTATTTATTGATGATAGCCATTCTGACATATGTGAGGTAATCTCATTTCTGTTTTAATTTGCATTTGTATGATGATAATGACTTGAGCAACTTTTCATATGTCTATTGGCCATCTGTATGTCCTCCTTAGAGAAGTGTCTATTTAGGTCCTTTGCCAATTTTTAAAATTGTTTTTTTTTGTGTTGGGGGGATATTAACCCCTTATCAGATGTATCATTGTTGAGTACGTTCTCCCCTTTAGTGGGTAGTCTTTTCATGCTGTAGGTGCTTTCCTCTGCTGTGCAAAAGTGATATAGTCCCATTAATTTATTTTTATTTTTGTTTCTCTTACTCAAGGAGATATGCTGGAAAAATAATGCTATGAGAAATATACAAGATTTTTCTGCCTATGTTTTCTTCTAGGATTTTTATAATTTCTAGTCTTATATTTAAGTATTTAATCCATTTTGAGTTGATTCTGGTGTGTGGTGAAGGAAGGTGGTCTAGTTTCATTTCTTTTGCATGTATCTGTCCAATTTCCCAACACCAATTATTGAATAAACTGTCTTTACCCCATTGTATGTTCTTGCTTCCTTTTTCAAATGTTAATTGACCATAAAGGTTTGGGTTTATTTCTAGGCACTCTATTCTGTTCTGTTGATCTATATGTCTGATTTCAAGCCAGTACCATGCTGCTTGATTAAGATGGCATTGTAGAATAGTCATATCAGGTGGCATAATTCCTCCAACTTTGTTCTTTTTTTCCTCCAGGTTGCTGTGGCTATTCGTTTTTTTTCTTTTGTGGTTCCATATACATTTTTGGAATTTCTTATCCAGTTCTGTGATATATGTCATTGATCTTGATAGGAATTGTATTGAATCTATAGATTGTTTTGGGTAGTATGAACATTTTAATTATGTTAATTCTTTTTATTCATGTAATGGTATATGCTTCCACTTACTTATATTTTCTTCAATTTTATTCTTCATTACAAGTGTTTTATGTCCTTGGTTAAATTTATTCCTAGGTATTTCTTTGATGCAATTGTAAATGGAGTTATTTTCTTTGTTTCCCATTTTGATAGCTAATTAGTGGTGTATGCAAATGGAACTGATTTCTGGATATTTATTTTGTATTCTGCTACTTTACTGAATTCATTTATGAACTCTAGTCATTTTTAGGTAGAATCTTTAAGGTTCTCTATATAGAGTATCATGTCTTCTGCAAATAATGAGAGTTTTACTTCTTCCATTCCAATTTGAGTGCCTGTGATTTCTTCTACTTGCTGAGAGCTGTGGCTATGACTACTAGTACTATGTTGAATAAGAATGGTGAAAGCAGACATCCTGTTTTTTCCCCATTCTTAAGTGAAATGCTTTTAGTTTTACCGATTGAGTATGATATTAGCTGTGTGTTTGTCATATGTGGCCTTTATTATGTTGAGGTATGTTCCCTCTCTTCCCACTTTGATGAGAGTTTTTATCATAGATGGGTACTGGATTTTATAAAATGTTTTTCTGCATCTATTGATGTGATCAAGTTATTTTTATCCTTCATTTTGTTTATGTAGCATATCACATTATTGATTTGTGGATATTGTACCAAACTTGACTCTCCAGAATAAATCCCACTTGATCATGGTGTCTAATCATTTTGATGTATAGCTGGATCTTGTTTGCTAATATTTTGTTGAGGATTTTAGCATCTGTGTTCATGAGATATATTGGCCTAAATAATATTTTTCTTTGTGGTGTCTTTATCTGGTTTTGGAATTAGGATAACGCTGGCTTCATTGAATCAGCTTGGGAGTCTTCCTTCTTTTTGAACTTTTTGGAATAGTTTGAGAAGAATAGATGTTATTTCTTCTTGAATATTTGGGAAAATTTACCTGTGAAACCATTCAGCCCAGGACTTTTGTTTTAAGAGTTTGTTTGTTTTATATTACTCCTTGATTTTTTTAGTTGTCACTGGTTAATTCAGATTTTCTGATTCTTCCTGAGTCAGTTTTAGAAGTTTGTATGTTTCTAGGAATTTCACCAGTTTATCCAAATTGTCCAATTTGTTGGCATATAGTTATTCGTAATATTTTCTTACAATCCCTGTGGAATCAGTTGTTACTTCTCCTTTTTCATTTCTGATTTATTTATTTATTTATTTATTTATTTATTTATTTATTTGGGTCCTCTCTCTTTTTTTCTTCATGAGTCTGGTTAAAGGTGTGTCAATCTTACCTTTTCAAAGAACCAGCTCTTGGTTCCCTTGATCTTTAAAGTTGTTTTTTTTCTCAATTTTGTTTATTTCTTCTCTGGTATTTATAAATTTGTCCCTTCTACTCACTTTGGACTTTGTTAGTTGTTCTTTCTCTAGTTCCTTTAAGTGTAAAGTTATATATTTTTTGAGATTTTTCTTGTTCAGGTAGGCCCATATTGCTAAGAATGTCCCTCTTAAAAATACTTTTGCTGTGACCCATAGATTTTGGGTTGTTGTGTTCTCAATTTTATTTGTTTCAAAATCAAAAGATATTCTTCCTTAATCTCATGGTTAATCTGTTCATTGTTTAGTAACATGTTATTTAGCCTCCATGTCTTCGTGTGTTTTTCAGGTGTGGTTTTTGTGTGCGTGTGTGTTTTTGTTTTTTTCCTGTGATTGATTTTTAGTTTCATACCACTATGGTCAGAGAAGATGCTTGATATGATTTCAATCTTTTTAAATGTATTGAGACTTTTTTGTGTCCTAACATGTGGTCTATCGTATATGCTCCATGTGCACTTGAAAAGAATGTATATTCTGCTGCCTTGGGGTGAAATGCTCTGAAGATATCTATTCAATCCATCTGATCTAGTGTGACTGTTAAGGCCACTGTTTCCTTGTTGGTTTTTTTCTGGAAGATCTATCCATTGATATCAGATTGCTAAAATTTTTTACTATGACCATTGATTTCTCCTTTTATGTCCATCAAGATTTGCTTTATATATTTAGGTGCTCATATGTTGGGTGCATAAATGTTTACAAGATTGTATTGTCTTGTTGGATTTCTACTTCTATCATTACATAGTGACCTTCCTTGTCTCTTATATAACCTGTTTTAAAGTTTATTTTGTTCAATATAAACATTGCTACTCCAGATTTTTAAAATTTCCATCTACATTAAAATATTTTAAAAGCATTATTAAAAGTGGTCTTAGCCAGATGATTGTGTGGGTGGTTTGCAGAATGAATTTTTAACATTGTTAAAATATGGGTACTACCCAAAGTAATCTACAGATTCAATGTAATCCCTATTAAAATACTGGTAGCATGTTTCACAGATCCAGAACAAATATCCCAAAAATTTATATTGAACCAAAAAGGACACTAAATAGCCTCAGCATTCTTGAGAAAGAAAAACAAAGTTGGAGGTATCACAATACCAGATATCAAGTTATACTACAAAGGCATTATAATCAAAGCAGCCTGGTATTGGCAAAAGAACAGGCATGTAAATCAGAGACCCCAGAAATTAACTCACACCAATACAGTCAATTAATATTTTACCAAGGAGGCAAGAGCATACAATGGAGAATAGATAATTTCTTCAAAATGGTTTTGGAAAAATTAGACAGGTACATGCAAAAAAGAAAAAAAAAGAAAGAAAGAAAAAAGAAACTAGACCACTAACTTACACCATACCCAAGAATAAACTCAAAATGGATAAAAGACTTAAATGTAAGTTGTGCAACTTTAAAAATCCTAGTAGAAAACATAGTTGGTAAAATCTCAGACATCTCATGTAGCAGTTTTTACACTAATACATCTTCTAGGGCAAGGGAAACAAAGGGAAAAATAAAAAAAAAAATGGGACTACATCAAAATTAAAAGCTTCTACATAGCAAAAGAAACCATCAACAAAATGAAAAGAAAACTCATTGTATGGGAGAACATATTCAACAATGGTACATCTGAAAGGTTAGTGTTTTTGTTTTTAATTAAATTTTATTGGGGTGACATTAGTCATCATGAACATATAGGTTTCATGTGTGGATTACTAATTTACAAAATCTGTACATAGGGCCATATGCCCACCACCCAAAGTCAAACCTTCTCCTGTTGTCTCATATTAGGACCCCCTTCTTCCCCAACCCCGTCCCTCTGCCAACCACCACACTGCTGTTTGTGTTCATAAGTTTCATTTTTATATTTCACATATGAGTGAAATCATATAGTACTTAGCTTGTTCTGTCTGACATTTCATTTCGCATAATGTTCTCAAGGTCCATCCATGTTGTTGTAAATGATGCTATTTCATCCTTTCTTATGGCTGAGTAGTACTCCATTGTGTATATATAGTACATCTTCTTTATCTAGTCTTCTATCGCACGGCACTTTGGCTGCTTCCAAGTCTTAGCCACTGTGAATAATGCTGCACTGAACTTAGGGGTGCATATATCATTTTGTGAATCTGTGAATATTTGCAGTGTTGTTTGCTTATTTGTTTTGTGAAATTGTTGACAGAGTTTCTCTCACTTCCCTTCCCGCCCCCTCCAGGTTATATAACTCAAAAGGAGGCCTTGGCTTGTGCTGCTGTACTTAGAGATTCAACCAGGAAAGCCTCGGCCAAGGGAGCTCCTCAAAGAACCGTATCCGGAAGGGCTTCGGTCATGACAAGAACATGTCTATCAGCACTCCCTGTGTCTGTGGTTCTACCCAGGACCAGAAGCGCAAAGCTCTGATCCTTTGGGAACCATGACTTTACACAGCTCTAACAGGCAGTTTGCTCATGTACCCTGGCATCTAGTGAGTGCTTAGTGCATATTTGTTGAATGAGCATAAATAAAAACTTGTAATACAAAACCACAAATAAAAATAATCTTTCTTCCATGCACATAAATTTTACCAGCGAGAAAAAGTTGAGAGGTTTAATGGAGCTAAGAGTAAATAAGCCTTTCACTCCACATATAATTTATAGAGTAAAATGACTTTTGAAGCTTCAGAGTAAAAGCTTCTTTTGAATTAGAACCTCCCAGAGAAGTCCCAAGAACAGTGAAAGGAGAAAAGTCATCAGAGGGTGCCAGATCTTTTATCACTGGTTGACCATCCCTTGAAAGCTACCCACTGCACATATTGAAAATACCCAAACAAAGTCAGAGTTAGCACTGAGCATGCAGGGCTTCCGAAGCCATATCTTCACAGCCACAACTGGACTGTGTATTTCCATGTCTCTCTTCTTCCCTGTCAAGCAAGAGCAATCAACTTGGCCCCAAATCTTCTGGATCTTGCCTGACTTAACAATCCCTTAGAATTATCTTGAAACTTAGACTTATCAACCTGCTACATCTGGGTTCATTCTATATGCTGTAATTGACCTTGGCATGAGTAAGAGAATTCAGGCACACATCTCCCCCATGTGAATCAAGATACACTCATGCAGAAAAAGGAATAACTTCAAAACACAAATTTTAAGTCTAATTTTTCCACTGCCTTGATGGTTTTAAATAAAGCACATAAGACTATACAAACAAGCAAAAAGTGAGATAACAACTGATTCTTTAAAAAGATAAGCAAAACTGACAAACCCTTAACCAGACTCATTAAGAAAAAAGAGGACCCAAATAAATAAATCAGAAATGAAAGAGAAGTAACAACTGATACCACAAAAATGCAAAAGATTGTAAGAAAATATTATGAACAACTATATGCCAATAAATTGGACAATCTGGATGAAATGGATAAATTCATAGAAACATACAAACTTCCAAAATTGACTCAGGAAGAATTATAAAATCTGAATAATACAACTACAACTTTAAAAAATCAAAACAGTAATTTAAAAAAAGTCCTGGACTTCACAGGTAAATTTTTCCAAACATTTAAGAACTAATCCTATTCTTCTCAAACTATTCCAAAAAGTTCAAGAAGAAAGAAGACTCCCAAGCTGATTCAATGAAGCCAGCGTTATCCTAATTCCAAAACCAGATAAAGACACCACAAAGAAAAAAAAATTATAAGCCATATTCCTCATGAACATAGATGCTAAAATCCTTAATAAAATATTAGCAAACCAGATCCAGCAACACATTAAAATGATCATATACCATGATCAAGTGGGAATTATTCTGGAGAATCAAGAACAATAGCCACAAATCAATAATGTGATATGCCACTTAAACAAAATGAAGGATAAAAATAACTTGATCATATCAATAGATGCAAAAAAGCATTTTATAAAATCCAATACCCATCTATGATAAAAACACTCATCAAAGTGGGTAGAGAGGGAACATACCTCAACATAATATAGGCCATATATGACAAACCCACAGCCAACATCATACTCAATGGGCAAAATCTAAATTTGTTTTCTTAATATCTGGAATAAACAAGGGTGTCTGCTTTCACCACTCTTATTAAACATAGTCCTAGCTAGTGTCAGACAAGGCATCTAAATCAGAAATGGAGAAGCAAAACTAACATGATACTTATGTAGAGAACTCCAAAGATTCCACCAAAAAACTACTAGAGTTGGCAAATGAGTTCAGTAAAGTAGCAGGATACAAAATAAATATCTACAAATCAGTTGCATTTGTATATACCAATATTGAACTATCAGAAAGGAAAACAACCCCATTTACAATTGTATAAAAAAGCACTCCTAGGAATAAAATTAACCAAGGATATCAAAGACCTATATGTGGAAAACTATAAGACAATGAAGAATTCAATTAAAGAAGATACAAATAAGTGAAAGTATATACTGTGTTCATGAATAAAAAGAATTAATATCATTAAGATGCGCATACTACTTAAAGCAATCTATGGATTCAATACAATTCCTATCAAGATACCAATGACATATTTCACAGAACTAGAAAAGTATTCCAAAAATGTTTATGGAACCACAAAAGACCACAGCACTCTGGAGAAAGAACAAAGTTGGAGGAATTATGCTACTTGATATCAGATTATACTACAATGCCATAGTAATCAAAACAGCATAGCACTGGCATGAAAACAGACATACAGATCAATGGAACAGAATAGACAGCCCAGAAATAAACCCATGCCTTTATGGTCAATTAATATTTGAGAAGGGAGGCAAGAACATACAATGGGGTAATGACAGTTTATTCAATAAATGGAACTGGGGACATTGGACAGGTACCTGCAAAAAATGAATCTGGACCACCTTCTTACACCACACATAAGAATAAACTCATAATGGATTAAAGACTTAAATGTAAGACTCAAATCCATAAAAATCCTAGAAGTAAGCATAGGCAGTTAAATTTAGGACATTTCTCATAGCAACATTTTTTTCTGATATGTCTCCTAGAATAAGAAAAACAAACAGAATAAACAAATGGGACTACATCAAACCTCACTGATGATCATGACCATCTCTCTGTAACCATTAACATAGAGAAAATAAAAGTTGTCATGAGATTCTGAAAACTTCTAATACTGGTTCTGAGACCTTATCTGAGTTTTCTTTAGGAAAAACAAGAGGATGGTTGGCCAACTTCAAGTCTGACAGTAAGATTTTGGAAAGCCAATGCTGACCTCACTAGGTTCATTAACTTAATCATAAAGAATCTTCTTCTCAGAGGGAAGAGGGATGGGGAGAGCAGGAAGGGATTAACCAAAGAGCTTATATGCATGTATGCATAACCCATGGACACAGACAGTAGTGCAGTGAAGGCCTGGGGGGTGAGGGTGAAACATCTGTGATACTTTTAATAATAACAATAAATTAAAAAAAATTGTCTTGACCTCTACATATGCTGGCCCTGACTCAGATACTCTAATAGCTTTACAATTCTAAGTCAAGAATCATTAGGTAGATTTAAAAGAACAAAATATCAAAAGGCATAGGGTGAGCTATAAGGCAGCCCTCCTAAGGAACAGAGGTGGTGGCATACCAAAATTGGCCCATTCTGACCTCCCATTCTTTCCATGATGGGACTTTTATCCCTTTAAACTTCTTGCATGCACTTTTATCTTAGAGTTTTTTTTATTATTGTCACAGATATTTGCTGTGTAAACTTTAGCTAGTGATGCGGGATATCAAGGAGGTCACTTATGATTCTGAGCTGCATCCCTGAATCCCAAATCTCAGAAGCAAATTCTTTCTGATAGAAGATTTAAAAGCTAATTGGCAGGTGAATGTCACAGGCCCATAAGAAGGACAAATAGATCTAAGTTGGCCCAGAAAGTTCCACCTGTTGACTCTCCCATTAGAAAAGATAACACCCTTCCTCTAAAGCCCCAGACCAACACTTATAGAGAATATGATTGATTATGGTGCCAGAAGAAAGATGCTCATGTGAGAGGGCACTGAGAAAGATGATCAATGGGGAACCGAGGACAGCCTGTTACTTTTAGAAAAATCTACTACTTTGATCTAGTGGAGACTATATTGCTTGCTTTCACAATGTCAATAGACATCATCAGAAAGTTCTTGAGATCAGTGACCATTTCACTTGAAATTACTAGAACCTGGAATAGTGTCTGGTTTGTGGTAGTTAATCAATAAAACTGGTTGAATAATAATAAAGTGTTCAAAGACTCTGCAATTCAGACTGTCGTCTGAGTTTGTGATATTATTCCAGGGTTCCAGAAAGTCACAGCTACTGATGAAAATTACCAGTAATTTATCAAGAACAGGTGCCAGGAGTAGTCCATCTCAGTTGCAGACCATAGGAGTGCACTGTCTGTCAATAATTTAAAAACAATAATAAAGCTAAAAGTTGGTCTTCTTTCTGTCATCTCCACAAGCCAGCAATGATTCTAAATAATATCAGTGATAAAATACTCCTTTCCCAAAAATATTTTGTTGGTCTAAGTTCTAAACAAATGTGGAGGTTACTATTGAATTTTAATAGTCTATATATAAATCTCAAAGTAGTGAATTTTCATTGCTTTCCTTTTAATAATCATTTTATTCTTTATGGAAAGTAATCCTGGGAACTCCCAACCTATACAGTATCAGCTCACAGATCTCCAACCATTGTGGTACTATATATTCTTGCATTTAAATAATAGATTTGAAACAACAAATTTCAAAGTCTTTTTTCTTTCAATGTTATATAAACAATAGAGATAAACACTTTCCAATGTTCACATTGACAGAATGTGAATAGTGGATATCATGATTAAAAAAAACAAGAAGTAGAACTTTACTGCAATTCTTTATTTTATGTGGCCACTTAGCATTTTTATTTTTCATACAATTTTATTGAGGTATAATTTATATGCAACAAATGTACTTAATTAAAGTTCAATGAGTCTTGTCAAATGTGTATAGTCATGTCACCACTACCATGATCATGATATAGAATGTTTCCATTACTCAAAAAATTTCCTTGTGTCCTTGCGTAGAAAATTTTCTTCTCCCAGGGAAATCACTGCTTTTCTTTCTATCACTACAGTTTTGCCTTTCTAGAATTTTACATAATTGAAACAACATTATATAGTCTTTTGTGTCTTGCTTCTCTCACCAATCATAACACTACTGTGGTTCATCATGTTGCATATACAGGGTTGAGCAAAAGTAAATTTATGGTTGTTCATGTGGAAAATAATACAATAATTGATAAATATAAGAATAAATTCTGTTTTGCATACTTATAACTGTAAACCTACTTTTGCCCCACCCTGTATTAGTAGCTTGTTCTTTTTCATTGCCAAGTAGCACTTCATGGTATAGATATATCATAGTTTGCTTATCCACTTACTAGTTGATGAACATTTGGGTTGTCTAACTTTTGACTATTA